CGTCAGTCGGTCTTTGAGTCGCCTTTTTTTCCTCTTTTGTTTGTTAATGGAACCGAAACGCACTAAATTGCGCAACACCTTGTGTTTTTCAGCATCTTTCCATGACCTTATGTGACCTTTGATCTTAAAATAATTAATGAAAACAAAGGTAGGAAGGCTAAAAACTGTAAATAGGTCTCAGTAGTTCAAAAATTTATTAAAAAATGACTTTTGAGATAATCTAGGATGATAAAATAATCTCTTCTTGCAAGGAGACCAGTGAGTTTTGCTCAGGTTCACTGATAGAACTTCACATTTATGCGTTCTTTATGACGCACCAACACACTGTGTACCTGTTTAGTTTATAAATATAGATTTACGTCTGCCAGCATGTTCCACCTTAACAGTCTACAGAAAGACAAGATCAGGTGAGGATAAAAAAAGATATGTAACGTTTACAATTTTTAAGTTGTTCTGTCACCATAATTTCTGTTGCAACCGATAGCTGGTGTAATGCATGATTCTATGACTAATAAATATTTCTTGCAGGATACCCTTTCTATGTGTAATTGGAAATGTGGCGATAAGTCATTTCAAACATGCCTTTTATAGTTTTTGGTGTAATGTTTCTTTACACCTAAGTGTTTCTCACAAAGGACAGAGAGGCAGAGAAGAAACATGACGTAAAGGTGAGGAATGTAAATAGCCCACATTACTATGTTATGAATGTAAGCCTGAAAGATTTACATGTATATATCTTTCTCTCTGTTTCTCCCACATGCTGTGTTTTTGGTAAGTTAAATACGCCATTTGTTTTCCTGATACACCTCAGGTGACTGGGCCATGTGTACATTCCTTGGATTCAGTTGGAGAGCTAAAAAAAGCACCACCTATTCCTGTTTCTCTTGATCATGCACTTGATAGTGGAAAGCTGGGCAAACGGCATCAGTCATTTGTCAACAATGTTTCACGGAAGTTTATGCAAGCTTCAGATGCCACAATGAGATAATGATCAAGAAATGAGGGTAGGAATAGCTCACTCATAAGTTTACATCTACTCAACATCGACATAAATGTCGTTTTACCTTGCATTGTTAGGTATTTATTAATCATTTTCTTCACATTTCTTAAATTATTTTTTTAAAACAGAGATTGCCAGTTACAAAAGAAGTATAGTTTGATGAATAAAGATCTCCTATTAGGCATCTATGTCAAGCCAGCAGTTGTTTAAAACTATCTCAAGGATGTGTACAGCCCTTATGTCAATGCTACCAACACTTGATTTGGATGGTTCAAGGATTAAATGGGAGACGGACCTGAGAAGCAGCTATGGAGAAACTTGTGCCGACAGGAGGTCACCTCTATCTTAAATGCTAGATTTAGGCGAGCCTGGCCACTGACTTCCAACTCAAATCCGCTTGATTCTCATCTCTCTTCACTGCTCCATCTGGAATTTCTCCCATTGAAGTAGAATTTCAACCAGGTTATTCAGCAAAACAGAAAGAGAAGATATGAATGACAATATTAGTTTTCTGCACTGTTTTAGGACTGGTGTCTGCCTGTGGTTTTAGGCAGCGGAGGGAGTAAACGCAGCTGTTCAGTTCATGTTCCAAATATTGAAATCACATTCCCAGCTGCCTTGTTCCGTTTGTAACTTCTCTCTTTGCAGTGCAGGATGGTTGTCTTTAGTACAGGCAATTTCCGGTAAGCTTCATAGCATCGAACAGGCGCATATTGTATGTCACGCACAAATGTTAGCAGCTGGGTAAAAATTAAAACTTGAACAGAGTTCACACCTCCAGCAAATCTCAATATCCAAGGGTCAGAACCCTCTGCATAATACAGAGACTAGATTTAGACTACAATTCAGCTTTTTGCATCAGCTGTATTTTATCCTGTGTAAGTTACATAAATATAATTCCAGTGTTTCACCTCTTTGTTTTACATGTGGGATGGAGGTCATTCCTCCCCACTAGTGTGCTAAACTATAGCGATTTTGGCAGCGGGTTCTATCATTACCTGGGTCTGATGAATACATCTGATCGACGAATCGGGGGGCGTTGTTCCCTTTGAATGAGGTAGGCCTCATTTAAAAATACATTGAATGTCTTGTTTTATTTTATTTGATCAGTGTGATTGTTTCATGGAGTGTAATGCAGTTATGCAAAGCTTTTTGGAAAAAAAATAAGTGAAAAAAATACAGTTGAAACCCTTAATGCCTGGGAATTAAGTTGGACATAATGTTGGTTAGATAGTCGTTTATTGTCACTGAGCTGAAAACAGACATGATGTCAACCTATAGCAGGTTTTCTTTATTTCTAACTGGGTGTTTCTGTTGTTGGAAACCAATCTATATATATTCAATCTGTTAGCTCACTCTTCAAATATCACCACAAGCTGCTGCTGCTGCTGATCATCATATGATACATCTTAATTAATCGTTAACTTTTTGTCTTGCCACTGTAAATATATTTCGTGTTAGTTTTACCCCCTCAGGGATATCTAACTTGATTTAATCTTGTCAGTTAGTAACTGTAACCTCCACACCCGCTGCCTCCAGAAGTTTTCAGAAAAAATGTCCCCGAGCAAGTGAAACAGGATGACTTTTACTTGTCAGAACTGGAGGACTTGATTTAATTTGGTTGCCTTCCCTGGAAGGCCTGGCTTTAAAGTTTAGAACAACAACTATCAGTGGGGTTGAGGTGAAGAAGTAAAGTTAATTTTCTGTGTGATTTTGACATCAGTGATCCGTCTGAACACCAAGTTGTGTTCTGTGTCACATCTAGTTGTTGATTTGGGGTTAAGTTTTGTAGCTGAAGTTGCAGCAGAACAGACCCTCATCATGAAGTCACCACCACCATGCTTGACAGTTGACATGTTTATAGGTTTGGAAACCTAACCTTGACGCCTTGATGGGGGGCTTAACTTGTTCAGCTTCATGCATAAAATGGTTTTGAAACAGAATAATGATCCTAAATATGCACTGAAACTCATTTTGGAATGGAGAAAACAGGTCAAAATTATGTTTCTGTGATTGTCTTTCCAACAATAATGTTGAAAAGAGAAGTCTGCAGCAAGAAAACAGACTTTTAAATACTTTTAAAGAAAAATTTTAAAATCCTGAAAGGAAGAGTGATCTAATATTCAACTAGACTAATACAAGGACCTTGGTAATGACTGAAAGTCTGCAGTTGAGGTGTATGATGTTAAGAGACTTTTAACTAAATATTTCTGTGGGTGTAAGTAGTATTTTACCCTGAATACATGGTTTTTCTTTTAGCACTGAATAATATCTATCATAAAACAACAAACTATAAATATTTGTATAATTACTATGGTTTGTTATATCAGTATAATAAACTAGAACCTGCTGTTCCAACAAAAAGTTCTCAATGATTCTCAGAAAAGCTTTTTCCCCCCCTAATTCTAAACTGTAATAACAGTCTAAATGCATCATCACCTAAATAAATGCAGCATTCATGTCTGTGATTTACAGTACTTAAAGCCTAATTTCTAAAGAGTAAAATAAATATTTTCTTTATGACAAAATTGTTAATTAGCGTGAAGGATTAGCAACATCAGCTCTTCAACATGGTAAACTGCCTTTGGACTGCATGCATCAGCTACTGTAAATTTTCTGAGCTTAGTCTGCAAAACAGAAGACATTTCAGTAACTTTCCTCTGTTCTGGCCCAGAGTGGAGTTTTCCTTTTCAGTCATTCTTGGACACAAGGACTTCCAATATTATGACATCTGCTAGTGATTACGTTGTTAGCGTAAGAATCCAGACATGTTCTTTCACATGGCCAAAGTAAATACACGTTTGTTCCTCTTAATGGGGAAGTTTCATTTCCTGCTCTCTCGCCACATTTTAAGCCAACCCTGAGGAATGCCTCGTGGAGCCTCCTACTGCGTTTTGTGGCTCTGCTCTGTGATGAGTTTTAAAGTCATTTAATGGAAATTATAAAGGTGATTCCCGTAAGATGTCTGTTTTTTTCCGCTGACTTTCTTTCCCAGCAGTGGTGTAAAGTAGAGGTCAAAATATGCTTTGCAATGAAACAACAGCTTCTCTTTCAAACTTGGAGTGATACACCTTGACCCGATTTCCCCCAAATACTGGTAGTTTCTGCAGGCAAGTCTACACAGGTGTTAAATTATGCTTAGGGCTAAGATTCCTTCCTGTAAACTTAAAAGTTCAAAGCAGTTCATCCCTTTTGTCATTCTTTGAAAAACACAAATGACAAAGTTTCGTTGACTGAAATTACTGTTTGAGCAAAATCTGAAAATAAAGATCATTCTTATATCTTTATATTTGCTACTTTACATCCTGGTGTTTTTCAGCTCTGGTCATCAGGGCCCACTGTCCTGCATATTTCAGGTGCTTTCCTCTGCCACACTCCCAAGTTTAGTGGATGGATGATTAACAGGCTTCTGCAGAACGTGATGAGATGCCAGAGGATATGAATCAGGTGTGCTGAAGCAGAGACACATTTAAAACATGAAATGGGCCATGAGAACCAGGATTAAGAACCACTATGTTAAATCTATTTAATAGTAAAGTAGGTGTTATTTGAGATGGTGTTTTTAGTTGAAGTTATTCATGCTTCTCAGTCAATAACTGAAGTAAATCCAATCAAATCCATCAAAGTATCATGCATTTCACTTACTTTGACACAGCATCTCTGTAAAACATATTTCTGAATCTTGTGCTAGAAAGAATAGCCTGAAATGACTCAGTCTTTTATATTGTTAATTGCCCTGCAGGAGGCTAATTCACTTACATGAATTCTCGTAAAATGAAGTTTCCAGTTTCAGTTTGAATAAATCCTTTGACTATTGCACCGACAAGCTCAGCTTAAAACCTTCATGTTGTATCATTGCTCATACTGAACTGCATAGGTGCTGGGACTTTTTCACATTTCGTTGCGTACAGCCGCAGACGTTTGGGAGGATTTTATCTAATAAATCATCCCATAAAGTGGAAGGAAGCAGATTCTTTGTAGAAATAACAGCTTTGCACATCTACTGACTGGAATTCTAGCCCAAATATTTCTGCAATGTGTGTGAAGCTAAAATCACATCGGATGGAGACAATCTGTGAGCAG